AACAGGCTTCAAAGAGAGCAAAATCCTGGAACCTGGCTATGGTATTTTGGCATAGTCCTAGGGAATCTAGCTTGTTTTGTGGGACTGAGAATGCCATCCTTGCTTTTGATACCTAGGCCAAGCTGATTTTTTTTTCTGGAGTTTTTGACCTCTTCTTCCTCCTTGTATGTGTTTAGTATGAGAGCGTTGCCTAATTGAGAAGATTGTTGGCATTCCTTTTTTTCCTCTGCAAACACATTAAATTTGCAAAGGGATCCAAAAAATTTATTGTTTCTAGTGTAAGTAGATTATACTGGATTAGTGGTTAGCATTTTGCATACTTATTCTGTTTGCCCTTTTATTGAAGAAAATCTTGAGTTGTGTTTTTGCATGTTGCAGATAGCTCAGACACTTGCGTTTGTTACTGGTAGACTGGAACCTGCATTTGCTGAATGCCATAGAGGGGAAGGCGGGGAGTGCACAAATAGACTGCACCTCTTCAGACCTTCTAATAGTGACTGTTTTCATTAAGGCATCATTTTCTGATGCTCTATTCTCGCTGCAGCACTTTGGCCCTTATGCTGTAAGGGGTGATGGTGATCACTGCTCTTCCTTTGGCAGGGTAGTACTTATTAGAGCTCAGGACTTGTGCAGAATGGTACAAAGTCACTGAAGTTCTTTTGTTTTGAACTAAACAGCAAATGTCATTAGAGTATTTTGCAAATCTGTAAACAGCATATTTCCTTTAATTATATGTAAGATGGGCAAGAACAGAATACTTCTATTTTAAAGGTAATCCTAATGATTGTTTGCATGTATGTCACAGAGGGTCAAATGTAGCCACCTCAGATAGCTGAGCTCTGAGGTGATCAGGGCAAAGAAATGAACAATTCTCTCATGGGGATTAACAGAAATTATTCTATGAATTTAGTATCTCTTTCCTGGAGGGCAAGAGGCAATGATGCTCTGACAGCAGACCACTTAGTAGCTCTCTGGCTTTCTGTTTCAGAAACTCCCCCCAATCTTATGGGAGCTAGGCATCGATTTTGCATACTGCCACTTCACTACTTCAATTCATTGGGCTTCTTGCTATGGAGATGGGTGCAGAATTTTAACCTAGTCACAGTGGTAAGACGCTTATCCTACCTTCAGATTTCTGTATAAAGCAACTAGACTTTTCCATGACTGTGTTAAACAACAACAACAATGCCCTGTAGCAGCTTTCTTCTTTGCCCCCCAAGAACTTGCAAGGAACTGAATTCTAAAGGTTTTTGCAGAAATAGGTCACAGCATAAACAGGTAATCCAGAAGTAAAGTTTAAAGTGTGGTACCTTAAATTTTAATCAGCCTTGTATGTAAACTTTACCTAGTTGTCTGAAGAGTGGCTAAGTGAAAGAAAATATTGAACAGTTGGTCCTGTAAGTGCATATGCAAAACCACGCATTAAATCACATTTGTGTACTTTGTATACAACTGTTCTTAATTTTCAGTGAGTTTCGCAGGTCCCCAATTCTTGTTAATAGCCCCACTTGATTAATCAAGTTTTTTCTTGATTGAAGAAGTGTGTAGTACACAGCATGTTTGCTCTTTGCTTCTCTATGCAGTGAGAGGAGCTTGATTGAATTGCTTAAACTGGGCAAGTGAAACCTCAGTGTAAATTTCAGAACAGGAATATTATTTCTCTTTGGGGTTTTAAGAGATTGTATTGTTTGTCAAAAATGGTGGAAGGGTGGTGGCTGTGTTTTGGTACTGTCAGTTCCATCTGATGTAGACCTAATGGATTTTTCTGAGGAAACTTGAATGAGAGAAAATCCATATTGTGAGACTTCTAAAAACAAATGTTGTTCTTGTTCTACTGAGTTAGAGCAATTCTGTATTGTCATCTTGATTTCCATAGTTGCTTGAAGTTAGGCTAACGATGTTTCAAAAAAGCTGCTTGCAATCACTTAAACAATAAAACTGGTTAGGGAGGTTGTACGTTCTTGCCTGTCTGTGTGGTCTTCTGTTTTTCCCGGAGGCCTTCTGGATTAGGTGCTTGCCACAATTCTGGAGTAGCCTGTCAGGCTTTGCAGCTATTAGTAAATCCATGACAGGATCCTCCTTTTGAAAATGGAAGAAGTACATATGCATATGATCTGGGATTTTTTAATTTTATTTTATTTTTAATTTAAGCGCCACTGTTTGTCATGTTAGACTAATGGCAGAATGAAAAAGCATAACATTCTGGAAAAAAAAAAGTCTCTAGGACAGCTAGGACAATTCTTTGTAAAACAAGGTAATTAAAGACCTGGGGTCAACTAGATAATATGTTCATTTCCAACTTGCCTGTTTAACTTGCCTGTGGAAGTGTTTTATTCACATGAGTATCAAAATGCATATAAAAACAGCATTTATTTGTGGAGCTGATAAGATTAATTTGCCTAAGTTCACATTTGGATATCTCAAGGTGCTTACTTTTTAAGATAGTTTTTAGTTTCAGTAAGCAATATGACCATAGTTCTTGACAACATCTTTCTCGATACTTAGACCTTAAATTTGATAGTGTTCTTTTGTTCAGTGCTTGTTTCTGCTGTTTCTTTATTTTAACTCTTAAAACCTGAAAGCATGATAATCTAAGTTAATTTTTTGTCAATACATTCAGCAGGGATACAAATAATCAGTATTTTAAGTACCATGAAGAGATGGTGGGTTCTTGGCTGTTTGTTTGTTTGTAATTAATGCTTTACTGCTTAAGCCCACCCCTGTGAAAACAGAGTTGTTTACAGGTATAGTCATGTAATGTGACTGCATTAAGGGATTTAATTACATGATAAATTTCCCAGGGTAGCCTGGTAGCTTACTTAAACATAACAACAAGCTTTGTCTGAGGCCTTGTTTACAGTTTTCATAGTTAAGAACTGTAAGTCAGGACTGGTGGGAATGTAAGAATTACTTTGTTAGAATCCTTTGTGTTTGATCAACTGTAATACTTTGTGAATTTATATAATTAGAAATTTTATCTGTGGATTTTGAAAGCTATATTGGTAATGGAGCTGCAAGTTCTACAAATTAGGAACTAACATTCATCAGTCAAGTTTATAACGCAAGTATTTTGTTTTTAATAAGTGTTGTGCTTTTGAGCAATATTACAAGTGAGTGGAAAAAGTAACTGCTACATAAAATGTAAAAGTTTTAAGTAAGTAAATACATATAGTGAAAACATTTAAAAAAAAAAAAAAGAAAAAGAAAAAAAAAGAAGAAGAAGGAAAAAAAAGTCTTCAACTCCCTGTTTCCTGAACTTACTAGCGACAAAAACTCTTATTTCTCTGTGTGGTTGGTTGGTAGTTTTTTGGTCACTGTAATGGAATGTAGTTTGGTTTTTTTGTTTTTGTTTTTTTTTTACCCTCTCAAAAAAAGAAATCCTATCTCCTTTCGCATACATAGTCATCCCCCTGCACCTACTATGTGTTTTAGAAAACTGTCTTCTGCAGTAGGTTGATCATAACCATATCAACATAGTTTGAAATCATGTGATATGTCAGTTAATAGTACTGAAACAGGTCTGTTGGCTGCCCTTCTAGGAAGAGGGGGATGATTGTGAGTTTCAGAGTAACATTTTGACTTTCCTTTGGGGGCGTTTCTCTACAAAAGTGACCTTTTACAGATGTGGCAATTGATCTGAATGCTAAGCATGCTTCATAGTGAGATACATTTGTTTCTTAAAAATGTCTGCTGTACTGTTCTAATGAAGCCTATGTCACGTTTAATGAGCAAAAAACAATGAGCAACCACCCAAAGACTTGAAATATGTGTTTATTTTCAAATATATAATGTTGTGCTGCAGTAGGGATGGAAGTGTGGTCTAAAAACAGTAGTATTAACTTTCTCTTCAAACTAAGAAATAATACTCAATTCAGTTATATATGATTGTCTTGAGATGCGGTGCGTTTCAAAGGAACTGTAATGATTATTACATTGAATAGAGAAATGCGAAATGCGTGATCCAGAAGGCCTAATATATTTATCAGTATTTCTTCTTTTCCTTTGATATAGTTAATTGAAACAGGAATACATTTCCTGCAGAAACAGGTGCCCAAAATCTTTATTGCTTCCGTGTACTATAAAGATGCAGCACTACAAGCAGCTTTTCTTATTTGTTTTCAGAATGGTCAACAACTTCTAAGTATTCTTTTTCTCATCTCTCCCTTATCCTACTGAATCACTTCACCTCTCTGTGCACGTTTAAGGGAATAATTTTATAACTTGAATATCTGTAAACAACTGTTTTCAATCACTGAACCTTTGGTAGATCAATACTCTGATTTTTTTTTTCCTATTTTTATATATTCTGTATTTTCATGTTAGATAAACCAGTCTTGTATAAGTATTTAAAATATATAATATGTTTTAATAAGTAATGTGTGGAAAGTTAAATTGTTCTTTGTTGAGGGAATATTAAATCCATTGCATCTGAGTATTAAATCCTTGGTCGTCCTTTTTTTTTTTTTTTTTTCATACACATTGTGTGTGTGTATATATGCTACTTTTGAATGTATATTTCCCTTACTCTGATCTAAATTAAAAACCTAAGTTTAGGAGGATACTTCCTTTTCTTTCTACTGAAAGAACAGTTTTGCTTATTCATTTTATGTTTTGGTTATGTTTACATCCTTTATATAATACTCACTTCTAACCTTTCTCATTGTGACTACTTTTCTTCTTTGGATACATACTGAAAACATTTCTTGCCAAGAGTGCCAGTACCCTGATACCCTTATTCTTATTAAATCATTTTAAATAAGCAAAATACCACCCCCAAAATTGTGTAGGAACAAGAACAAAATACAGCATTGATGAGAATAGTGTATGAATTGTGATCCTACAGGTTTGAAATTAATTGTTTATTTTTGCTCATTCTTGGGTTGGTATTTTTTGTTTGTGTGTGTGTGTGTTTTTTGTTGTTTTTGGTTTTGTTTGTTTGTTTTTTTTAAACAAGGAATTATTTGGTTAGTTGACGCTTTTTCTTAACTTTTCAGGCACAGGTACATTTGGGCGTGTTCATCTGGTGAAGGAAAAAATGGCCAAACGTTACTTTGCACTGAAAGTAATGAGCATTCCTGATGTTATTCGACTGAAGCAAGAACAACATGTGCACAATGAAAAATCAGTCTTGAAAGAGGTCAATCACCCATTTTTGATCAGATTGTAAGTTTTGTATTTTTGTATTCATTTAATCCTTACGTAAAGTACAGTAAGAACAAAGTGTTCCAGAGTCTCATTGCAAGTCATTGCAATTTACTTAACCAACATCAAACATTCAGTTTCTGTTCTGCAGTCTATATTAGAATAGACTTTAGATTAAAATATTATGAAAGAATCAGGTATTTGAAATCAAGAAGCATAATTTAAACATTTGAACAATAATTTATTATAAAGCTTTTCTGCTGAAATAATAATCTGCCCCTGTTTTTCACACTGCAGAAGAGGAATTTTCTTAGGAAAGGGAAAAAATAATGAAGAAATGTTAGGATTGTCTCATTAAAATGAAGTCTAGTCCAGAGTCTAGTATGTTTCTAGGTCTTAGACCAGCAAGAAAATAAGTTTTTCTTCATCCCATGAAAGAGTATTATCTTTAATCTAGATCATTATCTGGATTACCTTTATTACCTATATCCTCTGTGAGGTGATAGCAAGCATGTCCTATCAGGCAGACAATGCTTAAACCTTGAGAGGAGTTAGAGGAGTTTAAGATTAAAAGCAAGATGAAAGGTAACTCTGTTTATAGCCTTATTGAAAAACATATGATTTTTTTTTTAATTAAAAAAATTGATCAAATTAAAAGACTTTTTTATTTTTTTCTCTCTGCTCTTTTGATCTTTCCCTCCTTACCTTAGCAACATTAGCATTTCGGAAGAGGATGCTGACCTAAAGGCGGGTAGGGGTAGCGGGGACAGGTCCTACTCTTAGTTGAAATGTAAAGTTATTCTTATAGTGTAAAATAGTGATATCTCAAAATTTCATTAGCTTTTAATAGTCATGTATGCTGGAAAGGTTAGGTGGTGAATATGTATATGTTCACTGTAGGTATCTAGATAAAGATAGAATTTGATTTAAATATCTGACCTTTTTCAAAACTTTTGCAGACTTTACCTTCATAAACTCACTAAAAATATTGTATTGCATTAAGTGAGAACAGCACTTCTTCATTGTGGTTATTCCCGTGTTTGAGGGAAAGTGATATAACCTACCAATGAACATTAATTAAATGTAATTCACGAATCATACTTTTGTGTAGTGGAAGGTTGATGATTCTAATGATTCCTGTATTAAGGAGAGAAGGGAGCATAGTTTTTTGTTTAGAGCACTACAGCTCTTCTTGTGTACCTGAATTTAAGTGAGTAACTAAAGTTAAGATTAAGTGAGTAACTAAATGTCTGGATAATTGCACAGTTAATAAATTCCATTTATATTTTCTTGTTCATCAGTACAGGGCAATTGACCAAGAGTTCATTTTGAACTTGCCTGCATTAATCAGTTTTACATAGAATCAGATAAAATTAGTTTAGTTAATGTCTAACTGAAGGTAGTGCAGCATCTTTCCAAGGCCCAGAAAGTATCAGTGAGGGAAGAGAATCCATCTAAAGGTGGAAAGAGCCCTGTAGGCAGAATGTTTTTTCTGTGGTGCGCCATTGCTTTTTCTATCACCATGATGCTATCAGGTTCCAGCCAATGTTCCAAAATTGTATGTGGCATAGCATCAGTAAGAGGAGTTATAGGGTATATGGATGTGGATGTCGGAAAGCAAGTCAAAGAGGCTGAGAGTACTATTGATCTGGTTAGACTAGTTAAAATCTGGACAGAACAGAAGGAACAGGTTATTTTAATGTATATCTACATTATATCTGTGTGCATAAGGCCTTTTTAAGTCTATGCATCTAAAGAAGTTCAACAGAAGTGGGAATCGAGAAACTCAAGCCAGGGACATGGGGTTTGGTGTCCATACAGGCAGGGTAAATGAGCATTCATGGACTTAATGGTGACCATATGTCAAATGAAACTTTCTGCCTCTTCTTGTGTAGCTAACAAAGCCCCTCCTCCGCTCCCCCCCAAACATGTTTTCTTCCATAGCATTTTTAAACTATAGTTAATAAGCAAAAAGGGGGGAAATATTTCTATATAGTCTTATTTGGGTGTCTTTGAACTGTTATTTATATGGTGTGGTTTTCTGTTTCCAGTTAATGTTGCTGCTTTAAACAGGGACGATATCTTCCTTTTGGTTATAAACATGTTGAATATGTGTCAGTGCAGCGTAATACTATCTTTTACAGCATTTTATGATGGAGAATTTTAAAGTGATGTTGCACATAACTTATTTCTAATCTTCATCTTTCCTGTAGCTTGTAAAGACTATACATGAGATTTTTTTTTTTTTTCCTCTCTTTTCCTGTTATACTTAAGAAATGCCCCTCCTGCATGTGGGAAGGTCCTGAATAAGTCTTTCTGTGGATAGTGAAGTTATTTATCTACTTCTGTTTTAAACTGTTTTTTGGAAATGTTTGTTTTATGCTCTTGCAACAACTAGTCAGTGGAGTCGCACAAAAACATCAATAAAGATCGCCTATGAGAAGTATCGTAACTCTTGTAGGAGAAACAGTACATATAGTATTGTAGGTTTAAAATATTTTCAAGAAAACAAGAATTAATAAAAACAAACTGTATCTTATTAGTGCTATAAACTATACTAGTTTATTTGACTTTCATCTTTCTTTGTTCCTTGTAGTTGTACTTTTACCTAACTTCCTAAAATACTTCTCAAGAGTGTTTTTTATATAGTCGATAAAGATACGAATAATAGCAGATTAATCATGTTCAGTACTCTGTAATAGGAAATTAATTTGTGAAAATTTTCCTAAAAATAGGAAAGACGGAAGCCTGGGCTCTCTTTTATAGAGCCTGTGGAGGAGCTGTAGTTGATATCTGATTGTCTCCTCTTTGTGGCTGCCCTCAGTGCCAGTATGAGGAAAGGAAATCTTACTTGAGCAAAAGTTACTCATTGGCTTGGGAGCTGAGTTTACTCTGCTTGTTTTCTTGAGGCTCTGTAGCTTGATTTAATGAAGCAAAAAAAGTTACGTGATCTTTTCATTCTTGTGATACTCAAAGAGCAGTTACTAGAAACTGAAGTAACCTCTGTTCTTATATCAGTAAAGTAGGTAGGGTTACAGCGTTCTTTACCTACTGTCATAGCAATAAGGGTAGTTGTTAATTTTTAAAATAGCATTATATGTTCCACAAAGTTATCAAATACTAATTTTCCTCCTAACTGTTGAGTTATGTTCATGTGTGTGGTGTATGACTTGCTTAATGTAAGTAGAAAGAAAAGCATCTTAGTTTCGGGGAATGTGGGAGAGAAGGTTCTTGTGGTCTGTGTTAAAGCTTTTGAACGCCACTTGGAATGGTGGTCTTTGTGTTTGTGAGCTGCTTTTTACTACAGTCTAGTAATGTATGTAGCACAATGGTATTTCTTAAATTAGAGGCAGCAGTCTGAGGAATGAAAGGTGCTTATCATCAGGATAAATCCAAGATACAGAAATGAATACTGCTTTGCTGTCA